ACTCTAAACCCTAATGCCTGAACCGTGAAGACCTGTCTCGGCCCGAGGTCAGAGACCAGAAACCACTGCCCTTTTTTGTGGTTTTGGACCCGAAGACCATACTATAAACAGCTGTACGGCTATTTTGAGCCTCAGGGCTGTTTTCTGCATTAGAAATGAGAATGGAAGCTACTATATTGTCTACCGTGTTTTAGAAGCCTACATACATGATCAGAAACTGATAACCATCCGGACAAGAAAGCGGAAAGTGAGCCAACAATTGGTTAAGGAGGGGTTAACATGTAATATGATTGTGAAGCCGATCCCTAAGTGATTCAAGTGGTCTTAAGAAGATCTCGGGGTATTTTATAATATAGTTTAAACAGGGTTTATCAAAGAATAATCTTGCTTATCTGGGATCGAGGGTCCTTAATATGGGCGTGTATCCCCAGACCAAGACCACAAGTCCTGATTGAAACGGCGTCTCTACGGGAAAGGCGCGCAAACTCATAAACGTTGAATGTACAAACATTCTGCCGGACAATTCTAACCGAATAAGCCTGAGTTCAGCCTATGACTAAAATTGTTGAAGTACAGGTACAAGTACTCGTACTTGCACTAGTACTCATTCTGCTACTTCATCACACTTCATCCTGGTTCTCCGCGCCCAGAGCTGCCGCGCCTTGACCCCAAACAGCCACCAACTTATGTCCCAGGAAGTTCTTCGCAATGTTGCTCCACCACGCCTCGCGGAAGGGCGGAGGGGCTGAGGTTTATGTAATGGTTGTGACTTTTTCCTTTTTGCAGAAGGACGTTGTAATTCAAGTTGGCCTGGAAGCATGCATAACCCCTGGTAGGTAGCTGGACTGCATCAGGCGCATTCGCTATTCTACTTACTTGAGACTGCTGTTGGATGGGCGCGTATAGACATCCTAAAGCCCTGGCAATGAAGTCTCCAGAAATCTGCATCCATTCGTAGGCATTTCAAGCTCCATGCAGTTCAACACTGCGCTTGCTTGAAGGGGCGCTGCTGCTGTATTAGGGTTATTTTGGGGAAAAGAAAATGGACAGGAAAAGGAAATGGAAACTGCTAGA